ATCCTTTCCCAATACATTGCATACACTATCCTTTCCCAATATATTACATACACTATCCTTTCCCAATCCATTACATACACTATCCTTTCCCAATCCATTACATACACTATCCTTTCCCAATCCATTACATACACTATCCTTTCCCAATCCATTGCATACACTATCCTTTCCCAATCCATTGCATACACTATCCTTTCTCAATCCATTACATACACTATCCTTTCCCAATCCATTACATACACTATCCTTTCCCAATACATTGCATACACTATCCTTTCCCAATACATTACATACAATATCCTTTCCCAATCCATTACATACACTATCCTTTCCCAATCCATTACATACACTATCCTTTCCCAATCCATTACATACACTATCCTTTCCCAATTCATTAAATACACTGTCCTTTCCCAATTCATTACATACACTGTCCTTTCCCAATCCATTACATACACTATCCTTTCCCAGTCCATAACATACACTGTCCTTTCCCAATCCATTACATACACTATCCTTTCCCAATCCATTACATACACTATCCTTTCCCAATCCATTACATACACTATCCTTTCCCAATCCATTACATACACTATCCTTTCCCAATTCATTAAATACACTATCCTTTCCCAATTCATTACATACACTATCCTTTCCCAATCCATTACATACACTATCCTTTCCCAATCCATTAAATACACTATCCTTTCCCAATCCAGTAAATACACTACCCTTTCCCAAACCCAGTCTTCCATACTAAAAGCCTCCAAAATGCCTTACTCGTCTTTTCAACAATTACTTCATGTTGCATATACCTTATTATATTTCCCTTGTCACAAACATATATATTGACGAAATATGTTTCCTAAAGTCACTCAAACTCACTACCAGCTTTCAGGAGCCAAACGCAGTTACATTGAACACGTCAAATCTTCCAGATTTGAGCTTCTGTGAGATAATATGTAATTTCTATCACTAAATGCTCTGCTCATGAATAAATTCAATTACACTTATATATAACCGGTAAATTAACGCATGCGTACAATCACCACATTTAATGTTTCTGCTGGTGTCTCTATGGATTTTACATGTCACTTTTATTGAATTTATCTCCTGTCTTTTGCTTCGCGTGTCATCCACAATTAGTTCCGGCAGACTCCGTGTCGCGTACCAGATAGCCGCCTTCCGAACAAGACAATTGGGACTTGCATAACATTGTAGCCACACGATGAAAGACATCAAATCTGCACCAAGATGGATCCAAATGATGAAATATGTACTTTGATTAAGCAAATGTCTGCAATAGATCAATATTTGTCAGATAGAATATGCCCAAAGGGATGCAAGTGTTGTTTTTTTGGTATGCAATTTGCATATTTGAGTTATAATCATAATTACAAAGATGCACGTCTTGGAAATTCTAAATAGTGTTTTCCATCGTGAATGGAAATCGTAGAAAAAGTTACCTAAGTTGATTGAATTTTTTTCCCGTTCAGTTTTATTTAAAGCAGAAACGAGCATTTGTTTGTCCTGTCGCTTGATCAGAATCTATTTCGCTAAATGAGTGGCTTGATACATTTACCTTCTTGAATTTGTTTTGTTCTGAAACTTTGAAATACTTATTTCGCCTGGGGTGTTTGATGTCGTAGACTGTTAAAATGTTAAAACGTGTTCCCGTGTTTGTTCAAGTGAACGCTTGAACTTGCCTTTCCATGTGTTTGTGATGGGTGCCGCCGGAACAGGATACGCTAACCTTTTCGCGAACACCTAGTATCATCACTGTTTGATAGTGATTCATAAACACATGTTTATTATAAAGTCGGAATGGTATAATTGACTCTGCTTTTAGCAGAGGTTTCTTTTACTTTAAGGAAAGGGTTTACCACGTCAGTCTGTAAATGACAAAAGGGTCACAAATAGTTGAAGCGTTCGATGGTCACGAAGAAGACCCGGGTTCGGTTCCCAACATGTGTACAGTGTATGGAGCCAATTTCTGATGTCCCCGCCGTGATATTGCTGGAATATTGCTAATTGGCGTAAAACCATACACACTCACTCAATGACGATAATCTATCACCATCGTATTCTAAAGCAATATGCTAATGGTATGATTCAAGTCGTATTCTTCAGCCAATCATTTTTGGTCTCATTGTCGTTGGCTATGGCAAAGTTTTAGCAACATTCCTTTGTCATAAACCTGAATATCGGGACGATGTACAATACGACCAAGATCAATCGTTGTCATGAGTACTAGATTTTGTACTTTACCAAGAAATTGTAATCCGAGACATAACATTTGTTACATAGAGAATCTCACCCGAGTGTCTTTTGATATCAAATATATCAACACGAGTTGATAAAAGTGGAAAAATGCCGAGGCTTGCCGAGGATTTTTGCCACTGTTATCAACGAGTGTTGATATATTTGATATCAACAGACACGAGGGTGAGATTTTATTTATCATCCAACATCATTCTTCCAACTTTTTCAATTTGTAGACAGTAATTAGCAGTGACTTCAGTGTAAAAAGTACTGCTAACAGCTTCAGTAGCAGAGCCATTAGTGATGTCATTTGATTGTGACGTCATGGTAGCCAGTGACACCACAATGGTCTGCAAAGCATTGTGATGTAATTTCATTGCAGCGATATCTACAGTGTAGATATCGCTTGATCTAATCCAAGCTCCTGTGGGAGCCAGTTTTGGATGATAAATGGGAATGTACCACGAATTGATCAGTAGAACAACATAAAACAACCTTGTCATTCCACTGAAAAAGTCACTTCAGAACAATACTGCCAGTATTAGCATATGTACGGTGCTGATCTGACCATTTCCACCATTTTGTGTACGTGAATGTCAATGTTCTACGAATTCAACTTGACCAGTTATGCCGAGTTAGTGTGGACAGAGACAAATGTGCTGGACGTCAGTGGTCTAATGACGCTGTTCCTCTGATTATGCCTTCAAGGTCCATCCAGTCTGCACTGTCTATCTTCATTATCTGATATTGACCATTGCTTGACCGAACAAGGTTTGGGGATAGTTCGTTTGGACAGTCTAATGCCATGCCAAACAATAGATTTGTATCAATGTCAAGATGATTTGAAGTCACAAGCTCAAAATCGTGTTGGATTTATATCAACTTGCGGTCTTGTAATCCCCCTTCCTATTCATCATTTATTTAGGAAGAACGAAGAAATGTTATTGTCAAAGCAGAGTGTTAGTGGACCGACCATTTGATAGTCTGGAGGGGGCCTGGGATTTTGTTTGGAGACTGGATCTTTTTGTCAGCTACAACTATTAAATTAAAACTATGAGCCTAAAAGCTTGTTTACAAAAACTTCATGTAACAACTTACTTTGTGTGGTACTCTAAACCACAGTATTACTTATTTAGTTCAAGCATCTTCTGGGACAATTGTTTGGTCGATAAAATAACACCAAAAAGGTGTAAGGGATTTGTGTACACATGTGATAGTCCGATTTTTATATGTTGAACATTGACACAAGTATACACATACAGGTGATATTGTGAAATAGCAGCCGGGCCGTTTAAAATGACATAATGTGGAGAGAACGAAATGTCTTCCTAATTCAATTCAATTTGCCTTCGTTGGTAATTTCTCCGGCTATAATGTGTTTCTCCAGACACTCAACAGTGTAATTCTGGCTCACAGTGACACGCCAAGGACAAACACTTGTGTAATAGCGATAGTTGTGTCAGGTGTAGTTGACTGTTCTCTTTACGCATACATACGTGAAAATAGCGACATAAAATCATTGTATATGTTAACCTTTATTAATCCTATTGTTCCTTAATTACCTTTACGAATGCTGTATCTTTATTTTAACTCATATATATCGAAGGTTCAAGTGCGCTTCAAGTTTGCGAAATTTTCTACGTCTCTGAAACCACAAGACATATGAATGAAACTTGCAATTGTGGTCGCAGCAGATCTAAAATGTGCACACAAATTTCTGATCCAACTCTCACGTATCTGCCCTATTTGATTATCTTATGCATTTTCCTGCAGAGACCTCCTATTGTTTTGTCCGGTAGGACATGACATGCTTTCCATTTTCGCAAATTTTCAGTGACCGCACTATTGCTTTGTACGCCTAATGGAATCAGTTTAGGCGGATATTCTCTGTCATTGACGTTATATTTCCAGAAATAAAATGGGGAAAATATTTATAATCAAAATTACATGCTGTATGTCAAAAGAAATGTCTTGTGAGAAATGAGTAAATAAAATATTGTGTGTTTTGATGAAACCGAAAAATATCATCTTTTCAACACAAATCACACCACACCCCTCGTCGCTCTGAACCTGCTGAATGATTATTATTATCGTTCATTTTTTACGTATTGTGATTTTGACCAAGTTCATATCATTATGAAACGTCTTTTATTTATGTCTGTACATTTTATCATATTTTATGATAGTTTATCATCTACTGTGACCGTTCACTCTAATGAGGTGATTATCTAAAGAGTTTTGTAGCTCTACACTTTTCCATCGCAATCGCTGGCATTTATGACGTATGGACGGGTCTGTGAGGGACCGTAAAAATCAATTTGTAATATCCGGAACTCGTTGTTCTTAACAACGCCGTATTGAACCGAAAATGTATGAGAAAAAACAAACTAATAGCCCATGGTATATTGTTCTTTATTAACTCTTTCTTTAGATAGTCAAGGAGTTTCTTCAATAATTCAATAGACCATGTTTATGTCAATGTCAAGATGTTTCACATAACGTTACATAAGGGTCGTACGTATGCTATACTTTACCGATGAATAGGATTCAAAGCCACACTATTGCAACAAAACGCGAACCAAAGCCCAGAGCAAGAACATGCTATTTATTATGATGGTAGGAAAGGAAGGCCAACTTTGAAGCTACTTAGCATGCATTAAACGACATGAAGGCATCTTTTGAAAAGCATTTGGTGAAGTCGGTGCAAGCGAATTTAAAAACGTGATTTTATATTTCAGACAATCTTGGTTGGAGACAGTGGAGTGGGCAAGACGTCCCTGTTAGTACAGTTTGACCAGTGCAAGTTCCAGGCTGGTGCTTTCTCAGCGACAGTTGGAATAGGCTTTACGGTAAGGGAACCGAACCAATCCTTGCTACGACATTCCTAGTCAGAAACCCGTCTTCAGTTATAGAAAACTGATATACCTGTTTAACCTTTAAAATTGTGAAATTCGATTTTTTTTCTCTATATATAATTACAGATGTAACATTATAAGTCTACGCCATAAAACTCGGAGCAAATGAAAAGTTCTTCCTATTTTATAATCGTCTAAATCAGTAGTGAATGAAGAGAGCAAAACGTCTACCATTTCTCAAATATTTCATGATTCATCATGACTAGCTGAGCAAAACTGAAGCAGCGGAAATTAATGCTGCTTCTCGGTCTGCTTGTACAGAGGCTTGCGAGACCAGGTTTAACTTTGTCTTAACCAAATGAATCCATACAGTGTTAAAGGATCATGCATAACTCGTTCACCAGAACGTTTATAATCGTCACTACAAATCCCAAAATTTAAATGTACTCACCATGTGTTTGAAATGAAAAAAGGAATGTCTGTAAGTAGTCTAAGCTCTATCACACAAAATTCCAACGAGTATTTTGATGTTAATTACTTCTCAACTGTTCAACCGACTTGCTTAAAAAAAAATTACCCATGCGAGTCCACAGACACTTTCTACATTCTATCAACGGAATAATGTAACGAGGTAGTGATAACCATATCCAACGTATTTAACGCATTTGGTAGCTACAGAGTAACTATATTTTAGATTTATCAATGTTAATTATTTCTTTTAAAGATAAAATTATGGATAAAGGGTTTTGATTGTTATGTTAACTACAAGGGAGCGAGGTTTTCGAAAACAAGGTATTCATATATCAAATACTATATTTTTATTAGAATAGGTGGAAACGTAAACTGTGCATTTTCCCCCGATGGCTTCCCTTTGTTAAGCCATCTATATGTTCATTTCGAAGGAGGTGGTTATAAATGGAAACCTCTTTGATCGTGGTCAGTCATACTGATAGCTCAGCTATATTATGGACAGTCATCTTTAGGCCGGAAGTGAAGACATCTGGACCTGAATACCGGAAGTACTGCCGTTTGGTATTTCCGTTCATTTTACGACAACGGACGCGGAAGAAGATTTCATTTTTGGCAGGTGAGTGCATTTTATTCCTTCATAGTCCATGCTTCAGTGCCATATTTCTTTACAGCTTACTTAAATATGACCAAATCTAATTCTAGCGCTGTCGATAGTTTAGTCGTATGGACCGTGTTCAACCATTATCAAATTAGGACATTGGGTTGTCAGGGTTCTATAAATAGGATACCACTTCCAAAGACATCATCCGTTTCATCTCTGATTGTCAATTATGAAGACTAAGGTAGCTTTGTTTTTGTGATAATTCTATAAATCGTAGTCTTCGATCGATGAAGAGTTATTTGTGAAGATTTGCTCTTGCCAAGCCTGTTTCCGGCACGGTGGTGCTTCAACCCTCCGTGAAGAGATTTTAGTTTTGAGAGATTATAACTGCGTGCAAACGGGCACGTGAAAGGCCTCTGGCGTGCAGGAAAACATCCAGTGACATTGTATTGATTTTCAATTTGCCCGGATTTTGAGTGGAATTTTGGACTTATTTCTGAGGGCCTTGCTACAAGGAGGTAATGGATATTTTCTGCTTGTCTGCCTTATTCTACAGTGAAGAGGTATCAAGGTGTGAACACTGATATCGTCACCCCCTGACCTTAACAAACGGTTTTGTGTCATGAAGAATGTTTGTCGTTTTGGAAAAAACCCAGTCAGGTTGGGAGTAGATAGACATGCCGAGAAAGTGATTGTTGTTGCTTCATGCGTACGTAAACCCGAACTCCTTGAAAGATGACGTGTACCAACGTGGTCGTATATTTGCACTTCTGAAGGGACGCCCTGCTCACAAAGACTACGTCGCGCGACGACCATCACACACGATAGTTTTAACATTGACCAGCGACTGTCTTGATGTAAAAAGAGCTTCATGGAATTGGGCTCTGGTGTCTTATTCATAAACCTGTTATAGTACACGAAGGGAAATTTGATGGACAGCTGTAAAGTTTCAGCTTCTATCCAGTATGTCATCGTGTTCGAAGGACCGTAAAGTAAACGTCCTCCCTTCTTGAGTTCCACAACACTGTCTGTATGTTATCGTGTTTGAAGGACCGAAAAGTAAACGTCCTCCCTTCTTGAGTTCCACAACACTGTCTGTATGTCATCGTGTTTGAAGGACCGATAAGTAAACGTCCTCCCTTCTTGAGTTCCACGACACTGTCTTGTATGTTATCGTGTTTGAAGGACCGATAAGTAAACGTCCTCCCTTCTTGAGTTCCACGACACTGTCTTGTATGTTACCGTGTTTGAAGGACCGATAAGTAAACGTCCTCCCTTCTTGAGTTCCACGACACTGTCTATTATGACATCGTGTTTGAAGGACCTAAAAGGAACGTCCTCCCTTTTTGAGTTCCACGACACTGTTTAGTATGTTACCGTGTTTGAAGAACCTAAAAGAAAACGTCTTCCCTTCTTGAGTTCCACGACACTGTCTAGTATGCTATCGTGTTTGAAGGACCTAAAAGAAAACGTTCTCCCTTCTTTAGTTCCACGACACTGTCTAGTATTTTAACGTGTTTGAAGAACCTAAAAGAAAACGTCCCCCCTTCTTTAGTTCCACGACACTGTCTAGTATGTGATCGTGTTTGAAGGACATAGAAGGAAACGTCCTCCCTTTTTTTTGAGTTCCACAACACTTTCTAGAATGCTATCGTGTTTAAAGGACCTAAAAGTAAACGTCCTCCTTCTTGAGTTCCACGACACTGTCTAGTATGTTATCGTGTTTGAAGGACCTAAAAGTAAACGTCCTCCTTCTTGAGTTCCACGACACTGTCTAGTATGATATCGTGTTTGAAGGACCTGAAAGGAACGTCCTCCCTTTTTGAGTTCCACAACACTGTCTGTATGTTATCGTGTTTGAAGGACCGAAAAGTAAACGTCCCCCTTCTTGAATTCCACGACACTGTCTAGTATGCTATTGTGTTTGAAGGACCTAAAAGTAAACGTCCTCCTTCTTGAGTTTCACAACACTGTCTAGTATGCTATCGAGTTTGAAGGACCTAAAGGTAAACGCTCCCCTTCTTGAGTTCAACAACATTGTCTAGTATGTTATCGTGTTTGAAGGACCTAAAAGAAAACGTCCTCCCTTTTAAGTTCAACGACACCGTCTAGTATGCTATCGTGTTTGAAGGACCTAAAAGTAAACATCTCCCATTCTTGATTTCCATGGCACTGTCTAGTACGTTATTATGTTTGAAGGACCTAAAAGAAAACGTTGTTCTCGATGATACTGTCTGGCATGTTATGGTGTTAGAAGGACCTAAAAGTTTCGACTCTGATAACGATCCAGATAATATGAACCGAACTATCGTTACATGATGTTCTTCGTTGGTTTGTCCACGCAGATGATGTTGTAACACGCCGTCACCTTTTGAACTTTGGGCCAATGATGTTACTACGGACAAATCCGTTGTTACCAAAAGCCCTTAAGCATAGCTATTATTTAATCTGAAATTCCATTAACTCTGGTCAAAATGCTATTCAGTACCAAGTTACTTTGACCATACAGTAAGGGTGTTACGTGTCATCACACGGGGTGAAATTGGCGTCCGTACATAACCACCTATGGTGAAATCGATGACTTGCAAGATACCAACTACAAGGAAAGGAAGCAGCCGAGGTAAATGAAGAGAATACCCATTCCACTCCGTGCTTTTCGCATGGCTGAACCTTTATAGCTCATTTCCAGATCTAGTGGAGGTCAAAGAGAGTTGTTTATTGGCTAAACTGCCACGGTCGCCAAATCTTGTGTCGTGTTGTCATATAATCTCTAAAGGGAAATGGACATTGTCGACCTATGGCCGGTTGCCTGGTTGCATGCGACGCTTGACAGATTCTTGTTGTTGCTTTAAATGAGGTCAGTGTTTTAAATGAGACAAATAAGTTATGGTTTTGTGGCATGCTTGTGCAACTTGAGCATGTTCGTACAAGGTTCGGGCGGTCGGGTAGCAAAGTGGTTAAAGCGTTCGCTCGTCACGCCGAAGACCCGGGTTCGATTCCCGACATGGGTACAATGTGTGAAGCCCATTTCAGGTATCCCCGCCGTGATATTGCTGGAATATTGCTAAAAGCTGCGTAAAACCAAACTCACTCAGTCACTCGTACAAGGTTCATTATCTAAAAATGATATTTGATAACAGTGATACGTATAACAAGTAGTATATTAATGATATAGAGATAGCATTTATGAATGTAAATTAACCTCATACATCATTATAAGTATGCCAGAATCCACTGGTTGTCCGTTCGAGTCCAATGTACGTTCTGCGTATGATCCTTGAGCTGTCAGCACCATACACTAGACGTAGGTTACAACAAGGTCACAAAAATATGCATGTAGCTGCATCACTTTGGGCTTACATCCCACTTTAAGCTTATATACCGTGCAGTAACTTGAATAATGTTAAATGCTGAGATACACCAACTCATTCACACTTTACGTATACACATGTGGGCCTCCTCCCGTATGCGGATGATCGAGCGTTAGCCTGAAGAAATGAAGTTTGGTGGTTCGATCCCCCGGCTGCGTCATACCAAAACGACGTTTAAACATGGTACTTGCTGTTACCCTGCTTGTTGCATCAAGAATAAAACAAGGACTGGTCGGTTCGGATAATGTGTTTGAGTGTGGTTTCCATGTTAACCTGCGGCATGGTGTCACAGAGGCCCAGCATTGTAAAACCAGCATACTTTGGGACCAGCAGCCATATGTGCTAATAATCTTGAACGCTACGTTAAAACAACTTCACCAAACGCATACACATGAATTTACGGAAGCGTAGTAGGGCCACGGTGATTTTTTTTTGTCTAAGTATCTCCTACGTAGGACTTAATATCTCCAACATAGGACTTAGTATCTCCTACGTAGGACTTAGTATCTATAAGTATGGACTATTAGTCTATTAGTATGGACTAGAATAAC